GCTTTGGCTGCTAGCCCATGGCGACACTTTTACAGGACTTTCGGACTGCCGCCTTGTGCGGCGACAGCAGTTGCTCGGCAGCTGCTCTTCCCAGTGCACCTGTCCCTGCCTCAGCAAAGGTGGAAGAAGAAGCAGTTTTTCAGCTGCCTCGTCTGCTCTTTAAGGGTCTACGACGGCGGGCGGCATCTTTTGCTTCCGACACAACCTGTTGTTGCGGGCAGCGCGAAAAGTGATGCCATCTCCGGAGGGCAAGCTGATTACATGTTCTGCATGTACTCTGCGAACGACTGAAGTTTTCGGTTCCCTCCCAACCCCCCCTCTCTGCCAAAGGCAGGCTTGGGGAAGAAGAAGCAGCTTTTCAGCTGCCTCGTCTGCTCTTTAAGGGTCTACGACGGCGGGCGGCATCTTTTGCTTCCGACACAACCTGTTGTTGCGGGCAGCGCGAAAAGTGATGCCATCTCCGGAGGGCAAGCTGATTACATGTTTTGTTTGATGTCCGGTTGGCAGCATGTCGGGAGCATAGATTTTGACAGCACAACACAATCAGTTCATCACGCCCAAGTCATGTCAAAGTCACAGTCATGTCCGTTTCATACGGAAGTCAAGTCCAGTCGTTCTTGGTATTTTGTGCATTTCACGGGATCCTATTGCAGCTATGTCTGTCCGTCTGTCCGTCATACCCGAAACTGGAGCAACGCCTTCAGCCTGCTCGTCCGCAAGACCCCACAGCCTGAACCCTCAACCGAGGTCCTTTGCATTTCGATCATGCCTCAACAACCCCCGAAGTCGCAGCTTCGGGCGTCGTTTCGACCGTCTACATCCCTGGAGCCCATTATCATCCCTTTGCCCTAGACCCTAGATCGCGGCACCAGGATGTCCTTGAATGAGAACCCCCACCCCCGAGCCGGTGCTCAAAAACCTGATAGCAATAACTGTCTGGTGCTTAGCAGGGAATGGGGGAATGGGTTCTAGGGACTACTATAAGGGACCTTAAGGGACTATCATAGGGATCCATTCCCTCATTCCCTACTAAGCACCAGACAGATAAGAACCCTGAACCCCAAACCTCCTGAACGATCCTCAGCCCTTACAGAAAGAACTGCCAAGGTTGGTTCGGGCATAATTTAATAAAATGCCCCAAAACCCTAAACCCCTAAACCCCTAAACCATAAAAACCGAAGGTTGATTCTGGCATGTTAATCTTCTGGGTCGGAAACCTGGCATCGAAGCTCGCAGCGGCGGTCTCGGAATGCAGCTTGGACTTCGGGGTTGACAGTCCAGGATTTTGGCTTGTTGAGTTTCCGTTTCGACTTTTCAGCTTTTCGGATTTTCGGGTTGTTGGGTTTTGGGGTGTTGAGTGTTCAAAGTTTCGAGTTGTTGCATGCGGGGTTGGAACGGTTGGGTTCAGGGCTTCGGGCCTCTCGGGTCTTGTGGTTTCTGGGGCTTTGCAGGACTTTTTTCCGCACTCGTCAGTTCTTGCTTGTTACCAAAGCACGGCGTCAAGTCTATGAGTTGAACCACCTTCGTTCTCCCATGGTCCCGTCGCGCAGGTGCCCGATCTAGTAGCTCCCCATGTAGCACCTAGAAGCCCAGGTACATGGCTCAATCGAGGGGTATCGGGCTTCTTGCTGGGCAGAGCACCTTATCCTCCTCGTTAGGTGTCAAATTACACACGTTGAAAAACACGGGGAAGAGTTCCCTTGCAGGGATATGAGCCTCACTTGCCAGATGAGGAGTTGAGGTTCATGATGTGTGTATCGCACGTCGTCATGCTTGTGACGCATGTTTCGAAAGCAAACTCACCCAAACCCCAAAAGCTGCATGGTGGCTTGAGGGTCAAGAACCGGCGTTGGATTTCATCTCTTGTATTATTTTAAGACTTGTTATTTCTTCAAATGGTGAGAAACTTCCATGTAAAAGAAGCTAGCCTTTGCCAAAGTCGAAGTTCCATAACCGGTGCATGGTTTTTTTGCTTGGGGATCCAGTAGGCTAATTGCAGCTCGTTTCGGGTTACCCCATAAGCCTGGGACCGTCTTTAGGGTGCCGCGCCATGCCCCCTCAACCCTAAACCCAAAAACACCAACCCTCCTTAAGCAGGCGAGGACACGCTCAGCGTGGGGGGGGGGCTGTATGGCCTTTTGCCGGGCAATGATCGAGGGCCGCTCTGTGCCTCAGGCCGGGGGAGGCTTGATTTTGCCAGGCATTTTTTTGTCAGGTTTAGGGTTTTATGGCTTAGCATTTTAATTTTTGAGGGTTCTAAGTCAGGGTGCATTTAAATACAAGGCTTTCACAAGGGTTCTATCATAGGGCTTTAGGGTGTTTGGGGAGTCTTGGGTTGACGTTGCATTGAAGCTCTAAGGATTGAGGGTTTCGTAGGGATTTGGGTTTAGGGTTTAGGGTTTAGGGTTTAGGGTTTAGGGTTTAGGGTTTCAGAATTTAAAAGGATGCTGTGCGGGGCATTCCGGAGCGCTCGTATGTTCTGAAATTCGAAGAGACGCAAATTTAGGTGTGGACCAGCTTGCTTTAGGTACGGCTGTGTCGCATGCAGAACGCCAGCGGTATTCGAAAGAAGCAGGAAAACCCGAGCCAAAATTCGGAGCAAGGAGTTCTAGCAAAGTGCAAAGCAGAAGTTTTTTCATGCGAGGCCTTTTTTGTTGTAGGAGTATTGAAGTTTGTTTATTCGTGTGTCTGGAAATCCTTAACCGAAGATTGGTGCAGTTCGCTTACTGCCGGGACCCGCGGAGTTAATGTTAACCAGTATCGGCACAAGCAGAGCACCACTACTCATGAGTATTTCTAGGCAAGGCTTTAAGGCTGGATTGGTAGCCACATGGACTGTGGGCTTGGAGTGTGCGTTTGCAAGATGGCCTGATTGCGTGCCCCAAGATAGTTTACGCATACCGGAATATACCCGAAACACCAACTATTCAGACCCGGCAATACCCTCCTTGAACTCCCACCATAAGAATCCCCAAACCGGACCCGCCAGTCTGCTGTTTTTTGAATCAGCACAGCATCTCGAGATTCAATTCCCCAGACCCTAAAGGCTAAGCCCTAAACCCGAAACCTCACCCCCAAGACCCTGAACTCTAAACCCCACCGTGAGCTCTAAACTTCACTCCGAAGGCCTCGCACCCCAAGCCCTATCGGTAAGACTCGAAACGGAGCAAGTCAGAGTTCGTTCTCCTCTGGCTACAAGGTGTGGGTCAACTTGCCGGTGCCTTGGGGGAGTTGGCTGGGGCTTCGTCGATGGCCGCAACCTCGTGCGGGAACATCACGGACGATGATCAGTATGACTATGAGATGCTTGGCTAGGGTTCATGACCGTTTGGGTTCAGGCCTTGGGATTTAGGATTGAAGGTGCAGGGTCAGAGTCTTTCAGAAATACTAGCCACCCAGAGGTTGCAATTGGGGTTACAGGTTCAAGGTTCACCGTCTCGTGGTTAGGGTCCCGCAGGGCCCCAGCGTCGGTGTGACTTTCGTGATGTCGTTCTCTAAAATAACAGTAAGCCCTGATACTAAGGCATCACAGGAACCACTTCTTCGACGGGCACGTCAGCACTTTCGGGGATCAGACGCAGGAATACAGCGAGTCTCGGTACAGACTTTTGGGATGATTTTTGTTAGGATTTGGTTTGGGTTATTTAGGGCTTAGGACAGGATTTAAGTAATGTCGGTGGGAGGTTGAAGTCGACACCTAGGAATGGAGAAACTTGTGGGACGAACGCAAGCTCCTGATCGGGGAGGGCTACGTAGGCCGGGGCTTGGAGCTGCACTATATTGTACTCCAGAACCCTACTCCAAATCATTACAGGACCTAAGCCTAAACCCTCTAGAGCCCGTGAAGGAACGCTGAAGGCAACCCCGATCTATTTGTTAAGGCCCCCTGTGCGTGAGGGTTTAGGGTTCAGGGGGTGTTTCTGGTTCTGGCTTCGGTGTTCAGATTCGGAGCCGGGGGTCTAGGGCCCAAGGCTGGAGGACCGAACCTGCAGCCCTGTATCCCTGAACCCTAAACCAGGACCTGCGTTTAGGGTTTCGGGTTTAGGGTTCGGCCCCAAAAGTTGACACCCAAAGACCTGCAGCTGCAGACTTTGACAGAACCCATATGGCAGAAGCCGAAAGACCTCGAAATACCTTAACCAATGAACCTTCCCTGCATCGTCGTCGGGATCCTTCGTGGGGAATCCGTGGTGAGGGGACGGTGGTGTCCTTCGGAGTCAGAAAGCCCCGAAAACCCAAATCGCCTGAAACCCTAAAGCCCGAAGACCTTTGTAGAATCCTTGCATAAGCCTTAAACCCTAAATCCTAAATCCTAAATCCGTGAGCCTCATAAAGCCCTCATTGTCACCCTTCAGCATCTCCCTCCCCTTAGGCCCCTTAAGTAGCCCAAGAGCCCCCAAAATCCCTGCCACAGCAAACTCAGCACCCTAAGCTGTGGAGGGCCTAAAGTCTTCCGAAGCCGAAGGCAAGATGGGACTTTCCGAAAATGAGGGGTACCTTATTTTGGGGTCCTTATAAGAAGGATCTTATTATTAAGGGTACTATATTAGGGCCCCCTATTTTCGGAAACCCCCAGATCTGAACACGTAGAGCTTAGACCCTAAATCCCTTGTAGGTCGCCCTCGTGCCCCCCCCCCCAAAGCCCGAAGGCAACGACATTCAATGTGCAGTGGACGTGGGCTTGGTTGCCACAAACATCGCAAACATGGGCCTTGCAACTGGGTTCCGTCTTTGCGAAGTGATAGGGCAGAAGTGTTGAAGGCTTCATAAGGTATCTAGAGAGTCTAGGTACGGCTGTTTCAACGTTTTTTGTTGTATGCATTTTATACAGGGTGTTACAAGGGCTTTCTAGGGTTTTCACGGATTCTCAACAGGTTTTGACATCAGGGCTTTTATCGGGGTGATGGCGCCTTATGTGCTGTTGACGTACGGTTCGTCACGAGCTCCCGTCTAAACAACCGGAAAGCCCAAAAGCCAATCGAAAAGCCAGGAGACTTGTATAGACCGTCTGAAACCTCTTTACAACACTAATAAGATCCTTCGACCCCCTTTTAAACCCCAGCCCAGCCGCAAAACCTGTCGAGGAAATCTTAGAACCCTTTCACCAAGACGAGCTCAGGCAATCAACTCAGCAGTGAGATCGGGAAACTGTCAGAACAAGATTCTGCCGAAGCGAGAAGCCCCTGGACCAGCTTTGCTTTAGGATTTAGGGCCCTTTTGGGCCCATTTAGGGGTCTCTACACCCCTTCAGGATCTTCGAAACTTTTGGAGGTGAACTTGCAAGGGTCCCTCAACAGTTTCCTTCAAGGCTTTTTTCGGGTTTGGGGTTGTTAATTTTGGGCGTTTTATGGTTGTTGGAAGGCTCAGTTTTTGGAGCTTTGCAAGGATTCGCTGAAGGTCTCCTCGCTCCAGGGCTTTTGGGCTTTATGGGGGGTTAGGGTTTTCTGAGCATTAGTACCTAGCCGTGAATCGGGACTATTGATGTTTGTGGGGGGGCTGAAAGTCTTTTGCAGGAGAGTGTTCTGATACGGCATAGCAGCATAAGCCTTACCCTCAGACATTAAAGCTTTGAGCCCCCTAAACCCTAAACCCTAAACCCTAATTTCACTCTCAAACCCTTGAACCTTAAACTTTCAACCGAGGCTCTGTGCACCGTTGACATCGGGAGAGCCGTTTCCTTCTTCGCTCAGATCGTGACCTTCCTGCAGTTCTCGATTCTCAACTGTGAGGACCGACAGGGTGTTAGGTTTAGGGTTTAGGGTTTAGGGTTTAGGGTTGTGGCAGCCTGCAATTCCCTCACTCAACTCCCCAGGTCTTAAAAGTACTGTGCAGCCCACTGTAGGCGCTGTGGAAGTCAGGGTTCTAGACGAAGTTCCCGGGATGAGGCCAAACCAACAGGGTGGAGGCCGACCCTCGAATCTGAAATCATTTGAAATCGGAATTATATCTTGAGTCTTTGTGGTTAAGTGTCCTACGCACATAAATAGGTAGATACATATTGTGTGCATGTCGGTCTGTCGCTCTGACTGTCTGTCTGTTGGTCTGTCTATCTTTGCGTCTGTGTGTAAGTAGAGAAATGGAGGCAGGCAGATAAAAACATGTATATATATATATATATATATATGGTACCCCTGAAAAAACCATGCCATCATGTTAAGTACAGGGAGCTTCATCTTCGACGGAGAAAAGCTGCAGTTCAGGGTTTGGGGTTCGGGGGCTCGCGACGCGGAATGCTCTGATGCTCGAATAATCTGATGTTCCATTGCTGGCAGTACGTATGCTTTCGCGATGCGAAATGCTCTGGTGCTGTAATCCGCTGCTCCACTGATTCCAGAAGGTATGCTTTGATATTGTAAACTATATTTCCAGACTTCCACATTGGAAAGAGTCAATAATTCCAGAGTTCCAGAATTCCAGATTTGCCGGGGCTAACTCCTCAGAATTCCACAGTTCCAGATTTTCCAATCTGGAATAATTCCAGATCTGAAAAATCTGGAATTCTGGAACTCTTATACTTTGCAAATCTTGAATTGCAGATTTCTGGAATTATAATTAATGGTTTCTCGCAAATTTCGATTGCTGTTAATATGGATGCGCTGTATACTGAAAGTCTTTGACTATAGAACTTTTGTCACTGTTTCGTCCTATTGCGTTCCACATTGGCGAGATTTAAAATTTCCAGGGTTCCAGATTTGCAAGGCCTAAGTCTTCCAGATTTCCAGAATTCCAGATTATGCAATCTGGAATTATTCCAGATTATACAATCTGGAATTCTGGAATGATTATCTCGCGCTTTCTAGACCAACCTTTCAGAATCAGTTCAATAAATTCCCTAACCCCTAGCCTTATGTACTGGATTTGGGAATCAGTATTACCATTAGATTCCCTAAACTTCCTAACGTTTAGCCCTATGTAGTGGATTTAGGGAACTCCCTGCGATGTATTGGAGCTTAAGGAATCAGGGAAGTCCTCAAAGGCAGGAGATGGCGGGTTGAGATTAAAGACTTTAGGGAACTAAGGATAGCCGTAATCCAAGACAGGGGAGCGGGGATTAGGAAGTTTACGAAATTTAGGGAACTAGGGAATCCCGGGAGAATTCTTAAGGAGTTTAGTTAATTCTTAAGGTCAAGTAACATAGTACACAGACAATAGTAAGAAATGTCGTGTATAGTTAGCATCTAAACTATAGATCCCCTATTAACGAAGTGCGAATGCATTACAGGAATCCTCAAATCCTGGATTCCTGATTCCTTTATATCATCCCTGAAGAAATAAGCTTCGAACTATCCAGAGAATTCTGGCATCATGGGCTCCTGAATTTCTTTACATAGTTAGTTCCCTTCCTAAATAAACTTCGGGTTATAACGGGGATTCTCCGATCTTGCATGCACTGCATGCCTGGTTTTCTTTAAATAGACCCCTTACTACCCCGTACTAAATAAGCCTCGATTTATTAGAAGACTTCCTAGATCCTAGAAGTTACAATTCAACTGCGGAATTTCCAGATCTTGGGCTCTTCCTGATTATCCCTATATACATCGTTTATCTGCAAGGTATTCGGTAGGGTACTCTATTGTATAGGGTATTCCAGATGGTAAACAAAAGGTACATACTGGGTGTATAGCGCAGATATTACATAAAGTATTGTTCTCCTGATTGTCCCCTTATTAATCCTTAATCTCCATAAAATATTCCATAAGGCATTCTATGGTGAATTCCAACGGTATTCTTTAGTAGGGTTCTTTTTAGGGTTTTCAACGGGGTATAGAGAGGGTACCAGACACAGCGGGTATTGAATGAGGTAGTATAGGGTATTGCAGATGGTATTCTACAAGGCCTATAAAGGGTAGAGAAAGTAACGTACTTCTTCGGGTATTGTATAGGGGATTCCATAAGGCGTTGTATAAGGGATTCTACAAGGCATGAGCATAAATGTAAAAAATGTATTGTAGAAAGTGAGCCTATCAGAGAGCATGGCCTGCTCCTGACATCTACAAGGCCTCCTGGCAGAAGCACTACAAGGCTACACATGTCGTGTATGCTGGTGAAGGAGCTTCGCCTGGCCTTGGAACGGTCATCATATTTGCTGTCGGATCCCGGGCCACCACCCCCGCCCCCCCCCACCCCCCTCCCATAGTATCCCCCCCCCCCACCAACCAGCCCCCTCACCCATACCGCTGCCGCGACGGTTGACTGGGCATGATCTTTCAAGCCTCTGACAACTCGAACTACGAGTCTATCAGAGAGAAAGGCCTGGTTCTCGGTTAGACAGGGGCCCGCTGGCGAACAAGCCGTATGGCCATCCACTTCGTCTATGCTGGCGGAGAAGAGTCGCCGGGGCTCGGGACGCACATCAAGTACGGGAGCTATGTCTTCTATGCGAAGTTGGACTATGTTCACTTCTTGGAGCACGGCCACGAGTTGTACCTCACGGACAACGG